CTGTGAGTACCGAACTATCAGAGATTCATGCTCGGCAAGCGTTGCTAAAGTGTGCTGGCCGTGTAGCTTCACCCGTTAGACTTTAGCTGTTATTAATAGCAGGTGAGGCTGGTGAGGTGGTGAGCATCGCGTGTCTGTCTGTTGTCCGTATACCTTTATCCGTTAGATCCTAGCTGTTATTTTCTAGCAGGTATGGCTGTTAGAGGTGGTCAACATCACGCAAACTTTAGCAGTTGCAAGCCAGTATTCATGACTTCTAGCGAGAGAAAGCGGTCAGGTTCGTGTTGGCTGTCACTGTACATGGCGAAGCAGTCAATGTTAGCCGTTAATGTAGTCGGTTGCAGGCGAGGGAGCAAGTTGGCGTTTAAGATATAATTTCGTTTTAAATGACTTTGTTTTTTTGGTTGGGTGACGATTGGTCGATTGCTAGGAGGCACAGGATTGGTCGATTGCTAGGAGGCCCATGATTGGTTGATTGCTAGCAGGCCCACGATTGGTCTATTGCTAGGAGACCCACGATTGGTCGATTGCTAGGAGGCCCACGAGTGGTCGATTGCTAAGAGGCCCACGATTGGCCGGCTGCTACGAGGCTCCTCATTGGCCAGCTGCTACGAGGCCCCTCATTGGCCGGTTCTTATGAGGCTTCTGTGTGGTTGACTGCTACAAGGCTCCTGATTGGCCAGTTGCTACGAGGCCCCTGATTGGTCGGTTTCTACGTGGCCCATCATTGGTCAGCTTTTACGAGGCCCCGGATTGGTCGGCGGCTACGAGGCTCCTGATTTTACCGGCTGCTACGAGGCTCCTGATTGGCCGGTTACTACGAGGCCCACGATTGGTCGATTGTTAGAAGGCCACTGATTGGCCGGCTGCTAAGAGGGCCCTGATTGGCCGGCTGCTACAAGACCTTCCAGCAGTCCTTGACAACATTAGATCTTACATTTTTTGCCGTTCCGGAGACCCTAGTTTTTAATATTTCCGTTCCAGTGCATCGTACTTCAGAATACGTTGAAGCCGGGCCGTCAAGGCATGCATGCAACGTGTGTGTGTTGCATCTGTGCGTGCGTGCGTGTGTTGTCTGTGCGTGTGTGTGTGTGTATGTGTGTGTGTATGTGTGTGCGTGTGCGTGAGTGTGCGTGTGCGTGCGTCCATCTCTCTCCGGGTCATGTTTTTTCTCCTCTACATAATACAACAATTATTGGTTCAAGTGCTACAGCATAGATTTTAAAGCAAATCACTGTTCCCCCCACAGTTCCGAAGAACCCCTCTTTTAAAGTGTCCAGTGTCATAGCATTAAATTTCAACGAAATCCTAGTTCCGGAGACCCCCATTTTCGAACATAGCCAGTTCCAGAGCATACCCCATTCAACAAACATTAGTTCCAGAGACCCCCATTTTCAGGTCTGAGTTAGTTCCAGAGCCCCGCCATTTTTGACTTTACAGTGGCACATACGTACCATAATGTGGGGTGAGTGCCCCCCCCCCGGGTTTCATCTCCTTGGTATATGTTGCTCTTTGGTTCCCTGCATAATATTTTTTTCAAAATAGTGCCACGGCAGTGCCGTGCTGCCGTGGCGGCCACTACGGCCCTGTATATAATATTGTAATAATTATGATGGGGGTCCAAGGCCATATATACAGTATTGTATATGACGGTGGTCTAATGCCATCTATATAGTATTGTAGTATATTGTATGCTGGCGGCCCACCAAGGCCACATATATACAATTGTGTATGAAGGGGGCCTAAGGCCTCCTATATAGTAGTGTGTGGTTAGCCTTGGTTGTAAGCTATACCGCCTCCAGCAAAGAAAAGTAGGCTGCATCACTTGCACATTGTATTATTGCGCCAGCGGAGACCTAGGCCCCCGGTGGCTTAAGGCCACACTTGGATGTGTATATCTGTCGCCTGCGCTGAATAGGCTAAAATCCAAGTTCGCGCATGCGCATTAGCTGGCTAAATAATTCATATTTTGATATAAAAATTTATTTAAAATACATAAATTACTTGGCTACCCACAAGTAGATTTCTATGATAAATATTCATCGCCATGGCTCTGGTAAAAGTTGGTAGAACGCCCTAGTTTGCAGGGTACCCCGAAGGCCCGAACAGAGTGATTCTGCCAGCATTCTCCCAGATACCTGTATATGTATATATTCGTTAAAATACTCATTATTTTAACGGTTAATGGGCATATACATGCAACCCAAAATAGGACCGCCTGGTACATTAGCAAATATATTCTAGAATTTTATCTATGCTGGTATAATAATAATAATAATAATAATAATCTATATATATAATAATATGAGTAGTGTCGTTCTGTTTGTTCATGAATAACTTCTTGGCGCGTGCACGAATCCGGCTGAAATTTTTCGTGTTTTATTCCTACGCATTAGGTTCGATTCTAACACTTTGCTTTTTGTTATTTATTAGCTTAAATGTTTAAAAAAACCCATATTTAAAAATCTAATGGGAAATCTCCCTGGAAAACATGCACGATTCAGTTCACTTCCGCTAGGTGCGCTGGCTGTAGACTTACAAACACGCAACCACATTCTAAGAGCTCTGCTAAAGGATACAGTAGTCTGTCACGTAACCTTGCAGTGGATTCGCCAGGGCACACGCGCTGGCTGTGGAATCAAGTCCTTCCCCACCTGCACGCTCGCACTCAGCGCATATCTATCTATCAATCTATTTATTTTTCTATCTACCTATCTATAGGTCACCGGAAGGTCGAGCATCACGGCCGAGGACTCAGCGCAACCGGTCATCAACGTGATCACGCCCATCGCGGGCACCTCCCGCCAGATGGCATGCTTCGACAACAACTCGTTCGCCAACAACTCGTTCGCCGACAATTCGTTCGCCGACAACTCGTTCGTGTCGGACGACTTCAAGATCAGAACGGCCGACGACGTTACGCCGGTGACGCAGAGCAACATGGCCGCGTCGGTTACTCTCGACATCCCGTCGTGTGACGTCACGAAGTGCGCCGAGGCAGACCTACGTGTCGAGAGCGCCGTGGCGTCGTCAGTGTGTGAGTCAACTTATTTCACGTGACAGTTCGTCGTCTGTCTGTCACCGTGGTATGTAGCGACGTGATAAGGATCAGACGGAGGATGATGGGGGAGGAGGGGAGCTTGCCGTTCGTCTTCTATTCTGTATTGGCCACCAATGAACATGCTGATGATTTTGCCAACGGGAGGCGCAAGTTAAAATGTTGAGCATGTTCAAAACAATCGTGGTGCGAGCGTGGCGGAAAGACAGCGCAGTGCGGGCGTATTAGAGACGTGGAAGGCGTAATACCCACGTAACTCGAGCGTAGTACGAACTTAATGATCGTATCGCATGCGTGTCGGGTGCGTGAAACATGTCGCCCGTTCTCAGCACGATGTCCATACGTTTTCATCACGCTGTTACTACGTCCATGCAGATGTCTCTGCGCCCAGACCACGCTCTCGCTATGACCATGGTGCGTCTCTAGCAAGCTCGACCCGTTCGTACAACGATTGTACTACGCCCAACACGCTCAGACAACGCCGTTGTGACGTTCACATTACGTGTTAGTCAATACGACGCTCAGATCACGTCCTGCGAACTTGGGGTATAAATTGGGGTGCCACCCTGGCCACCCCACCAGTTCAGTGTCCACTATGGATGAGGCAATACTACTCCATGCCATGTTTCTCGTAGAAGGACAACTCGAATTACTTGATTGCCAAGCCCCCAACATGCTGAGGAGGATGAGGAGGAGAAATACAAGACAACGAAGTTCTTGCTGGGTGCGTCCGTGGCTTTCGGTAGAAAGACGACTTCTCTATGGTCACTATGATCTCCTCATGGCTGAGCTCCGCATTGAAAATCAAGCATCTTTCTTCAACTTCCAGAGGATGCTTCCGTAGATGTTCGATGAATACGTAAAAAAATAAATTCAACCTTTTAACTTGCGCCTCCCGTTGGCAAAATCATCAGCATGTTGAAGATGGCCAATACAGAATAGAAGTGGAAGTCGAACAGTAAGCTCCCCCTCCCTCATCATCTTCCGTCTGATCCTTATCACGTCGCTACATACCACGGTGACAGACAGACGACGGACTGTCACGTGGAATAAGTTGACTCACACACTGACGACGCCACGGCGCTCTCGACACGTAGGTCCGCCTCGGCGCACTTCGTGACGTCACACGACGGGATGTAGAGAGTAACCGACGCGGCTATGTCGCTCTGCGTCACCGGCGTAACGTCGTCATCGGCCGTTCTCATCTTGAAGTCGTCCGACCCGAACGAGTTGTCGGCGAACGAGTTGTCGGCGAACGAGTTGTCGGCGAACGAGTTGTTGTCCAAGGACGCCATCTGGCGGGAGGTGCCCGCGATGGACGTGATCACATTGATGACCGGATGCGCTGAGTTCTCGACCGTGATGCTCGACCTTTCGGTGACCTGCATTGACGTCGTCTCCGCCGTCGGCTCGTGGCAGCCCTTCGCGTTCTGTATCCGCCGGAAGAGGTCGGTGAGAGAGATCGTCGACACTCCGCTCGAGCCGGAGCTGGCGACGGGAGTCGGCGGACACGTGACGGGAGGCGTCGCCGTCGGCGTCGGCGCCGGAACGACGGCACCGACCTGGTTGCCGCTGCGCCAGTGCGACACAGCGGCGCCGATCGTGCGCTGGATGTCGCGGTTTGTGAAACCGTAGAAGCAGGCGTTGAGAAAGCAGTGCGTGTAGAGCAGCATGGAGGCGCGGTCGAGTCTCGGCGACAGGGTGCGCCACTGTAGCACGGCCGTCGCCACGTTGAGCGCGAACAGCGGCAGGTAGCAGACGACGAAGCAGGTGACGACCGTGAGCAGTATACGCGCCGCCTTCAGCTGGTGCAGCGAGATCTGCTTTGCCTTCTTCGTCACCGTCACGGCGAAGTTGTTCGGCGCGCTGCGACACTTGGCCGCCGACATCTTGGACGTCGCGCGCGCGAGCGGCAGCGACAGCCGCGACCTCCCGCGATGCACTATCGTCGGCGAATCCCTCTTCGGAACGTTGAGATTGTTGCGGATGACGCGGCGGTTGTCGGCCGCTTGGCCGTCGGTGCTGTAGACCGCCGGCAAGCGCAGCGAGTTCGTGTGGTGGCGACGAGTGGCCGCACGACGAGAATATCAGCTATGAGCAGCAGCCCGAGCGGTAGCAGCAGGCACAGCACAAAATGAGCAATGTTGAAGGCGAGCTTCGGAGCTGCTCGCGTCTGCCAGTCCATGAAGCACATCGCGCATCCCGGATAGAACGCCCAGTTGTCGAGCACGACGACCTGCACGATCGCGAGCGCCACCGACACCGACCACATCTCGACGACGGCGATGACGCAACGTCGTTTCGTCACGAGCGGTTTGTACTGGTGCGGACGCACGATCAAGAAATAGCGCTTGACGCTGACAGCGAGGATGCATAACACGGATGCCGTCACCAGGAGCGTGTTGAGCGCTGCCGACGCCGCACACGCCGACGCACTAAACGGCCAGCGACCGACGGCCGTTGCCGCCTGCACGAGCGGCAGACAGATGACGGCCGTCGCCAGATCGGTGACGGCGACGTGTCCGATGATGAAGAGATTCGGACGGAAGAGGCGGCGTTTCTTAAGCGTGGTGTTGATCGCCCAGACGACGACGATATTACAGAGCACGCTCGCTGCAAGCACGACCGTCAGGTAAGCCTCAGCGACAATCTGTTCTGCGTCGCCAAACACGACGCTCGGTGCGCATGCGCCGATCGTGCTGCGGCCGCCGACGTCGGCATCGTCGGACGACGTGCAGTTGGGCGTCGTCGGCGACCCGTCGGTCGCGTTCATGCTTCGATCAGCTGCTAGCTCCGACTTCGTCTGCACGTTTCCATCACGACCGCCATCTTTGGTCGGACGAGCGAGGCGTCACCTTGCGTCATGCCGCGCTGTCTCTCGTTCTCTTCCGTTATCCCTCGTTGTTCGCTAATGTTCTTGCTGCAGCCGCACGCGGGTGAATGTGAAGGTGGACGAAGTGAATCACGGCTTTCTATCGCACCTGCGCACGCAAAATATCGATTTACGTTTTCTCAGCTATTTATTTGCTTCCCTACGTATATTAACTCGCTTGTGTCACTGCAGACGGAGTGTCTAAGCCTTAGACTCTAAGGTATAATAAGGTATCCTTACAGACACACA